GATAGTTCGAATGGAGGACTCCTCCTCGTCCACCCTTCTGTTTTGCTGTACATTCGACTGAGCTTGCTGCTCGACACGAAGTTGTTGCTCGACCCGCGGCTGCTGCTCGACCCGCGGGTTCTGCGCAACCTGAGGATTGGGCTCGACTTGCACCACTTGCTTCATTTGAGCGGCCACAGCTTCAGCAATCATCTTTTGCATTTCGGCTCTCGTCATCGTCAGCATTTGCTCCTCGACGCGGGGTTGCGTCTGCATCTTCTCTAGCACCTCTTGGATCTGCTTTCCCTCGCGTCGAGACATCTCTGTTGGTTCCTTCTCTCTAACGTCTGGGTTGGGGTGTTGACTTGTTCCTATCTGGGTCAACACTTGCATCTTTACTCCGGCTGGAGTGACGGGTGTTTCTCCACCCAGAGTCAACCCCGGTGGTGGAGGCCCTCCAAACAATGCCCATCATCTGCATCACTGGGTGTCTAGGGGTGGAAAATGGTGGTGGCCTCTTGTCCGTCCATGCTCCCCTAAACTCTTCATTCAAATTCCTCTGCAAACCTTCCTTCTCAGCCATCAGCAAATAGACCGGAGCTAGGTGTGAAGCTCTTACTTCCTTCAAGAACATCCCCACAGACGGTGCCAATATGATGGGTCTACTTCCAGATCTGAAGAGAACCGATGGATTTGAGCTCAGATCTGCTTGAACCGCCACTGAATCATTGCTAGACCGCGAGAATACCTGCAAAAACTCAACGCCAGAGGTGCTTCCGGCGTAGAGCCTCCGACGCTCAAGTCAGTATGAGAGTGATGAAGGGATATTGCGCAGCAGCTATGAGGGGAGTGTGGAATGAATGAGTGTTAGGGTTTAGGTTACCTCATCTCCTTTATATAAGAGTGAATACTTACTTGAAGTTCCTGAAATGCCCAAGTCGGTGGACCGAAAAGGTCCAAAATACCCCGGTCGGTTCGTCTCCTCTTGCTGCTGAGCCATCACACGATTCCCCTTTATCCCTTTGAAAGATTTAGAGCTTCAAGTGTGATGATTCGTCATCACATTTTTGGTCTTCGAGGCGTACCAAGTCGACCTCGAGAGCTAGGAGGTCGACTTATGATCATATGAGGATTAGGAGGCTACGCTTGATTAGTTCCCTCGAGTGGAAGTCGTCTTAAGAGAGTCGACCTAGTGAAGTCGACTGCTGGGAGTCGACTTAGGGTATCTGAATGCTCGGAGATTACGCTCTTATTGTTCTTATACATGTGTCGACTTATTGAAAGTCGCCATACTGGGGTCGACCTGAGAAAGTCGACTGGCCAGACTTCCGCCTCTTCACGACCGTTCTACGTAGAGTCGACTTTACGGAAGTCGATTTGAGTATGTCGATGGGAACATATCGTCCTGTGGACGGTCTGCGTGGTTACCCGGTCGAGTTAGGGGCTTTAAAGCCTGTATATGGTAATATGGCTATATCACCCAGGTGCTATCACAAAATGGTCCTGATACTTTTGATGCGTGTCGCTGTGTTCCGTGACTCACGGATGGAGATCCTCGGGGATGGCTGCTTGTTGTTGTGCTCCTCTACTGGTTGCTTATTGCTCAGGGTAGGAAAATCGATGTTTGGTTTGATTTTTTTTTTTAGTATTCAAATTAGTTTATGATCAATATATGTACAGTATATCTACGGATATTCGATTTTTTAGGGGTATTGGACTGTGTGTAGATTACGTTGAAATTCGCAGACTTTGGATTGTAGTATATGTGCAGTATATCTATGGTATATGTACAGTATATGTTCACGGCAGTATATGTTCAACATATTAGAAGATTTTTTTGTACACTGTTCAATATATGTCATGTATTAGAAAACGATTTTGACAAAGCATAAATTGATTTTTTTAATTTTTTGTATATGTATGGTTTATATTCTGTATATTTTTTGTATATGACAAAGAAATTTATCGCGAGACATAATTTTTAGGTATAAAATCAATTTATATCTAGCATAAACTGATTGCAACATATATACTAACATAAACGCAACATATACCACCTGACAACTGTGTGAATTAAGGAATTCCAGTTGCGCACATATACTGAATATATACTAACATAAACTCAATATATATCACCTGACAACTGCGTGAATTAAGGAATTCCAGTTGCGCGAATTGAGGAATTAAATGAGTAGGTTATTTATTTTCATTTCTCTCTCATATGAGTCAACGTTTTTTGTATGGTAACTGAAATCAGTATATTCAGTATATTTTTTGTATATGATAAAGAAATTTATCGCGAGACATAATTTTTAGGTATAAAATCAATTTATATCTAGCATAAACTGATTGCAACATATATACTAACATAAACGAAACATATACCACCTGACAACTGTGTGAATTAAGGAATTCCAGTTCCGCACATATACTGCATATATACTAACATAAACTCAATATATATCACCTGACAATAGGAATTCCAGTTGCGCGAATTAAGGAATTAAATGAGTAGGTTATTTATTTTTATTTCTCTCTCATATGAGTCAACGTTTTTTGTATGGTAACTGAAATCAAGTAAATCTCCAATTAATTCAATAGTTTTAGGTACATATGCAATTAAATTTATAGTAGCTGCAAAATCGTAAATAAATCTAATTCTTGTAGGATAGATGAAAATTTCCAATTAAATATGGCCCAATAACCCTTTATTTGTGAAGATCCCACATAGGATACACAAACAAAAAATATCAGCTATTTAAGTGGTGTTGTTGCCCTCTACATGCAAATGCAATAGTGGACCGCTCAGCCTGTCCAACCGCTTCCGGTTCTCCCGGTTTGACCAATTTTGACCGGTTTGAACGGTTTTTGGGCGGTTTTGAAACCTACCTGTTCCATACCACTATCCGGACTGGTATAGTGGCCGGTTCCCGGTCGAACCGACCGGTCTGGTCCGGTTTTGATAACCTTGGTAAATAGATCTAAATCTTGGATGATATGGACAAAAATATATAAAATTATCAAATTTAACTCCAATGCAAAGAGACTAGGTCTCTACTTTTAAATAGACTTAAGGCTAGACCGGGTCTCTTTTTTTCTTACTACCACATAAACAGGACTCGGTCTACTTGCACTTGCATTGGAGTACTTATTTTTCTTGACTCAGTCTATTTCTGATGTGGCATGTATATTTTTGTGAATGAACTCAAAACATTGTGGGTGCTCTTATATGGTTGATATAGGCTCCAATCCATTTGGTTGCCAATAATTATTCAAATTGGAAGGT